CTAACATCGAGCTTTTTCGCAAATTTAACACTGCATCGACGGTATTGTACTTGATGTTTGTTTATATGACATACAAGTTTAGTTTGCACAAATAGACTATTTAATGGGGCAGATTTTCTTTCTTTTGCTTCTAAGTATCGTTCAGCCCAACAGCTGTCAAATTATTATCGAGACAATCACTAAGCCTCATCCCTTACCATCTATGTGATTTCCTTCTTTTCACTCGTTTTTTTTTTCTAGAATTTTGTTCTTATTAGCGCTTGCCGGCCTCTATCAATACCATTCGTGGTTTAGACACTATGTTCTAACTTCTGAAATGGTGCAATGCAGAATACAGAATTGAATCGTGCACAAACAAAATTTCGTCTCTCTTTTAGGCACCGGTACCAGCACCACAGCGAGACACTGCACCACAGGAGCTTGTCAATGTGAGTCGAACGTAAATCTTATTGTACAGATTAGTCAAAGAAATCAACTCTATGAGACAGCGGTTTCAGAGTCTGCAACGTGAAGCAGCCGAAGCTGCCGCGGCAGGCTCCAAGAATGAGGAAGTGATTGAGGAGCAGGACCAAGCATTGGAGAAATCTGGAGTCGAGATGACCACTCAGGTAAGTCAAAAGATAATTTGCAGAGTTGTTAAGCTCATTTATCAATGGTAGAAAATGACAAACTCACTTTCAGGCTCCCTTGGGTGATGTTCCCTCGACAGTAGTGCCAGAAGCTGAGGAGAAAGTCGTGGATATTACGAATCTCAAACTGACTGACGATCCGCTCTGCAATTCCGAAGATCTCAGAAAGCTCATGCTTGATGTTTGTATTAACTTTGTCCATGACTCTGTTCAGTTCTTATTCTACTTTAAAAGAAATCGTTTAGAATATCGACGATAATTTAAACAGTTCAAAGCGATTAATTCAACTCGCAGCTGAGGCTCAGTTTGGAGGCAGATTCGATGTTATTTGCGCCAATGGAGATTTCAGGTATGCAATCGACACTAAATCTCATTCCTCTTCCCCTTAACTCCATTTTCAGTTACGTAACGAACACAGAGCTGTTTTGCCAAGAAACTAAAGGTGATATCTCATGCTATACCTATCGACAATTATAACTGCAACCGTATCCTAAAGTAGGCTGATCTATAGAAGGATTCTTATTGGTCTCTTC